TACAAAGACATTTTATAACACAGTATGTACTGAAACCAACATCGTCTTTATGTAGTCCGTTAAAATATATTGTTATTCCATTTTTTTTCCTTTACATATAGATTTATCTATTATTCTAGATTTATCTATAGGATGTTGCAAATGACTACAAGATAGCCACTTTTTATTTAATGATAATAGTGCCTGCCTGAGTTATGGATATTCGCTGACAAGGCAGCAAGGAAGGATGATAGGATGAGCATGAAGTCAGATCAATTAGGTCATTGTAATGAATTCACCAGGAATGAAGGACTGACTACGATAACACTCGAACACTTACACAAATTGACGACCAACGGATAAACCTTGTTTGTGGTTCGAATTGTCTAATAAAATTTATTGAAATTCCGTTCATATGTACCCTTATATCTACATATAACACACAAATCAATTGGTAAAGTAACTGAAAAACATAAACAAAGCAAATATTATGATAAAAATAATGTGGAATACAAATGTTATCTACAAAAAACATGTTTTACATTTCATGGCAATTTATTCTGTACAATTTTCACATAAATGTCGCATTTTTATACACATCCGTGAGCAATCTGCAATATAGAAAGCAAATAGCCTCCGGTGTCAGCTGCTCAACAAAAAAAAACATAAGTACCTACTCCACAACTCCATTCTCTAAAATGAGCCATTGAGCCATTTTCAAACCGGAAAAGTTGCCAAAGAAAAAAATGTTTGATGCAGTGAGCGCGGCACTTTAGCCGATTAATTTAGGAGACCGAGTGTGAGGGGCTGGTTTCCCAGTTAGATATGCTTCTACTATAAGCGATTTAGCAGTATACACATAACTGGTAAATGGAAAATATGTGATGATTTTATTAATGAACTGTTTTATAATAATAATAATTGTTGATTGTTCTTTTAAATATATTTCAGAACATTTCATAAAAACCATAATTTGAGAATGAAGGAGTCAATTAAATTTATTTGTTGTTAAAAAATACGATCTAATTTTGTTTTTTTTTATAAGACGAATTAATTTAAGTACAGCTATTTGTTATAGCTGTATACTATAACAATAATACCTACAGCAGTAACGGCGTAGAAACTTCTAGTTTTCTTAAGCATAAAGGATTTTGATAGATAGATATTATTATAAATAGGTACATGAATATGCCATTGTCTGAAATTTTGTTTGTTTGTTTTTATATCTTGACATCGTAATGATTTGTCTATTATAATGAATTCGATATATAATAAAATGAAATATATAAAAAGCTTTTTCACATTACGTGTCAACCTAAAAATAGTAAAAGAAATATGTAATTCAAACATCAAAATAAGGTAAATCAGTATATAATCAATATTAGCTCCATTCTCATAAAATATTGATTAACTTATATTATATTATGATATATGTTCATACTATTTCAACTTCTACTTTGTTCTAATTTAGAAAATCTATGTTGCATCTAAAGTTAGCAAAACAGTTCATAAGGTCGGCAACAATGGCGCGGTGCGGACAAAATGCAGAAACTTTTCATTTTTATTCGCACGTATATTTTCAGACAGATATGACCGACTTTTAGTTTTAGCATCATATGTTTATGTACATGCAGCGTTCATAAGATATTCATTATATGTATCACTTTATTCTCGGTAGATTTAGATCTAAAGTACTTATTAGATATTGGTTTACTAAGTTACCTGAAATATTTTTTTAAGATTATAAACATATTATTCTATTTCTACACTTTAAAATATTCTTATTTTAAAGTGTAGAAATAGAATAATATGTTCATTTTTGTGATTTAGATTAGTCATTTATATCTTTCGAGTTCCATTTACGGAGGTTTATTGTATAAGATTATTATCAGATAGGAATCATTTAATTGACTTTTTCTAATTTCACTGCTGTTTGGATATGTTACTCAGATAAATATCCTTACTAGATGTACTTGTATGTCACGATGTTGTTTACCTGTAATAGTGTGTTTGACTCGCTGAAAATACATAATAATTCTAATACTCGTATATGTGAATGACTTTCAAAATAGTGTTTTTTTTTATCTATAAATTATTATTTATAGATAAAAAAAAGAAATTTGATTTGTTATATATTTGTTAATAAACAATTTTACTATCGGTAGGTCAGATACCAGTTCATACTTAAGTATTAGGTAGGGGCCACAAATTAAGTAATAATTACAAATTATCTGTAAACTCCATTCTTCCCACCCCAAGGATATACACTACTACAATAAAATACGAAAATAATACGCAATTTCTTTATTCTTCCAATAGAATAACCTATAAAAGACTATGTCTTTAAATACGTAAAAATATCTAGTGGATACCAGTTTTGGTAGATACTAATAAAATCTCTATAATATATAAATTGCTGAATATCTACAAAAAAAATATTTTTTACAGCGCTTTGGTTTACCTTAAGTAATGCAAAAAAATGTAGATCTATTTAGATTGTATTGCAACACAACCATAATCCTTACATTAAAGAAAAGAATACTCATTAACAATAAATTAAATTTTCAAATCCTATATCATACACTTTTACATTATGTTCATAATATAATTAGGAATTTTTAAATAAAAAATAATTGAGTAATAGATATTTTGATTATATTTAAGAAAAAAATATATGGCACTTTCAAATCCAACGCTTGTAATAAAAATATCCCTTCATACAATACTAGTAAACATTTATCTTTCCTATATTATGATATTGATATGTTGATATATTATATCTATATATATAAAAAACAGGGCAATTAAGACATAGAATCTAATGATACCATACCATACGATTTTTATAGTATTCCCTTATTTTGAAATTATATGTTATAATTCCAGAATAAGGGAATACTATAAAAAAAACGTAACAGGCAAAAAGACTATAATTAAGAAATAGTATTGTATTAGTCCTTCAAAGCCTCTGGAGGTCTTATACCAGTGCCTAAATAAAATAAAAAAGATCAGCTAAAATATAAAAATGCCCATCGAACAACCGAATCATTTTACATAGATTTTCAATATATATTTTTGATAAAATTATTACACTACAACAAAACTTATATGATATACATTGACTTTAAACAGAATTAGATAATATTAATTCAATTTTACACTTTTTGTAAGTACCTACTTAAGTGCAATTTTATTGGTTCAGCAATTAGTATTATAATAACGTTGCTGACTAAAATGATACTATTATCTGATGGTATTAAAAATAATATCATTATATAAATATAAAATGAATTCATGAGTAAATTATACGGACAGGTAATTACAAATCTGCCAAGAAATAATTTGCAATTTGGTTGGCAATTTGCAAAATTGGTGGCATAGTAGTGTGTATGGATATAGATGCGTAAAGAAATTATTTATATTTATATATATAGGTATACATCTAAATAATTTATTCTTTACGCATCTATATCATAATAAAATATTTTTTCCTCTCTTTAATAGGCTATATGTATATATATACACATATATATACTGAAATTATGGAGTTTTAATTATATATATTGTATAAATTTGAATTTAGTCATGTTTGAAATAAGGATACAAACAATTTCATTATTACTTAATAACTACAATAAGAAATTTTGTTACATATTTACATACCTACAATGGAATGAAAGAGAATTATTTGAATACTTATCTAAATGAATTTCTAAATACATTTCGACTAAAACAAAAGTTCAGTGAAAATCACAAAAATCTCACAAATAACTCATAAAATAAATCTAAGACAAAGTATCTACTGCCAAAAATATATTAGTTGTTTAGTTTGATTATTTGTATATATGTATGTATATTGTTTACTTGTTACATGTTTTGAGCACATTGTATCATTTTCATTTGACACAGAATATTTTATTGAAATTTTAATAAAACTAATAAAGGTAAAAATATAACAAAGTAAATCATCAATTATTGTAATAAATGCATTACAAAAGGTTCTATCTTTTTGTGTTGGATTTATTACAATAATATTGACTATTATCATTATAACTATAGATATTACAATAATCATGGTATTACATATTCTTAATAATTCCATAACACATAATTTTTGAGCAAATCTTGAATTTTTATATATGACTACAACTTTACAATGTGCATAGTGCAAATGTCCATTTTCATATAAATGTACTCGAATAATTTTACAACAACAATACAATATCCAAAGCGCTATGTATTGTAAAATATTCTGCAGGTTTTTCTTCGAGAAAACAACATTATAAGAATATCCGGTAATAGAATAACGACAATTATAATGACTTATCATTATAAAAAAATGTACTTAAACAAAGATAAGATTTATACACTGAAATAACATTCTTACTTAAATTGATTAAAAACAACTATAATAAATTCACAATATGATAAAATTAAATGACCCCCTAAAATACCTTACAATCTACCTACGTATGGACGAAGAACCAATTAATAACAAAAGTCTTTTATTTTCATGTGAAATATCAATATCACATACTTATTTTTACAGTTTTCTTCAAGTCTTTTATCATTTGTTTTGAAAAAGACTAGATCATGAACATGCATTAGACGTCTACTCAATCTGGCACAATTCGACTAATTAAGAAAAGGCTAGGTTTTTACTTCAGTTTGAATGACAGTTACTTGATTAATTCGAAGTTACCTATACATAATATATATTTAACAATATTTTAGTTTTACACAATTTAACAATACTTATTTCAATTTGATAATATTTCATAACCAGCACTAATACATCGTAGTAAAAGCATAATATTTTTTGCACTAAATATGTCTACCTACTATTAATAAATATAATTTGAAGACTACACACAGTATCAATACAAAACATTGCAAAATTGCACTCATCGACATAAATTATTCACGGTTTAGTGCGCATTGCAACTTTACAACAACTCCTGCCACTTTAACTAACTTATTGCCAACAGCTACACTTTTAGGTGTTACTATTTCGAATATATTCTACATGACACATTACGTTGGAACTAATAATTTTGACAAGTACGCAACTGCTAGATTTGCTAAAATGGCAATGCTGATTGTTATCACTTTGTGGTCCGACGCTCTACTGCCAGAATTACACTCTGCTCCGCGAAATTCGAGGCAATAGTTCTGCAAAATAATAAAAAATAAATAGATAGATCTCTATTTTTTAACATTAGAAGTAAGTAAAAGAAAATTCCAAATACTAATCAATTTAAATTGTGTGTAATGTTGAAAAGTTACTGCACACATCTGTCCGTACGTAATCAAACCTTTTTGTTAAATTTTACAGTTACCCGTCGGACAAAGTTTACGAAACTTCGCACTTATACCTAATACATAATTTTGTACTTTATTTGAAGCAAGTTGAATTATGTTATGATATCAAATTATATGTTATAAAAAGTTCCTTGTAATTCTAACCAGAGTAAATATTGTTGCACAAAAACTATCATAAAGTAATAAGAAATAATATTCATTTTATGTAGATATCCCCGCAGAATTATTCTGTCATTTTGTGTAAATATAACTTACCTTTATAATGTTTGAAGCCATCCTCTTAAGAAACGCACTGGTGAACAGCGCCGCTTCATCACCACATGAACTCTGCACTGTCAGCTCAGAGCACTTCAGATATTCTTGAAAGGAACTGAAAAATAATAAAGAGATATAAAACCTACACGATTACAGTTTTTTATTATTTTACACCTATTATTGGTTTTTTCTTAGCTTTTAATGTACCTACATACATACTTCAACGTCATAGTCAAATTTATACAGTTTTATTATTACATTAGTTTATTTATTGTATTCTGGTCTATCAGGTTTATTAGGTATGTGTATCATCATCTTTTTTGGCCAATTACAGTCTAATGTTTAACTGAAGTGTTTTTTATGATATACTTACACAAATAGAAGTTTACTAACATTCAGATAAAAATAAATATTATATCTAAATATGTACCATTTAAAATACATTTTCTCAAAATAACTTTTTTTTAAAATGTGCAAAATCAAGGAATGAATAGGTATGTGTTTTAAACTATGTGTAAATTTAGTTCACACAATTTTATTCAGGTTGGCGTCCCGTACTTTATCCGCAGAAAATAAAACTGTTTTTGTTCTTCTTTCCATTGTCAGTGCATGAGCAGCGATGTATGAATCCTGTGATAGTGCAGGTGTATTTTTAACAGAAACACTGGGCACATAACCTTGATATTTAATTTTTATCTTTTTGAAAATGGAAGCAAACCATTTTGTCTACAATAAGAAATGTTACACGATATATCTTTATATTTTTGTTTACCTATATACCTACTTATAAAGGTATTCGATTTTATGATCGGCTATGTGAATCATATACCTACAAAGAAATATAAATTATATATCTGACGCTTTCAATAATTCTTCCTGTTTACTTTTTAATATATATTAACCTAATCATGAGAAATGTTATAAAGTAATTAAGTTATTACGTATCTACAAAGATTAAAATCAAATTCATGAAAAAAATGGAAAATTTAAAATTCAATTGTAAAGGCGTGGATAACGAAGTCATTAACACATCGAAAAAACCTTAAGTGCGTCACTTAATCCGATAGAATTCAGGCAGAATCTTAAATAGAGCTTAATGGTGTAAGAGGGTAGAAGAAATAGACGGCCAATTCGAATAAACCCCTAAAATTTATACACGAATGATAAAATTAATGAATGAACATTTATTGGGGTTATTATTTTATAATAAGTCCATTCATGTTATTATAAAATTATTTCGTGACATTAATTTCTTGTATACTTTAATCAGGTATTTTTGGATCTAGTCTCACCTGACCTATAATACTGAAACAATATAAATATAATTACCATTAGAAAACCGATTTTCTAATAGTATTTTAAAATTTTAATGAGACATCAAATATTGTACTATAATACAATGTTGTTACATTATTATAATAGATAGATAGACATTATATTCATATTTTGATTATACATTCATGTTCTTATAACACATCATACATATACATCATCACTATTAATTGAATTATGTCCCTTATTCTCTATATTTACTTGAAACAACAGTCTATTGTAATACGAATCTACTACACTCTATGACTCGAGTATCTTTATTAATATCGAATTATATTAATTAAATGGATAGGTAAATAAAACTTTTATTAGACCAATTTTCATCGAAAATGTCTTATATATATCACAATGACACCATGACACCATGTAACGCTGTCACCTGTACCATCATGTATCACCATGACCGACAACAAATGCTAAGACTTAAGAACAATGGACTTGCTAAATACTTCTATAGGGGAGGATGGGATTGTTATTATTGTGGATTAATATCCCAACGCTAGATTGCTAGCATTGGGATATTAAATATTACATTGGTACTAGGTAAGGTTGACCTCCACGCTTTCCCCCTGGAAGCCTTTAGCCACGATGGGCAAACTGACCTCAACTCATGTTCATCTTATCATCCTTCACTAGTACCCCGCCAGCGTATACCGTTAGCGCAGGCGGGTACACCATTACATAAAGATCCATTACAAAAGATACTTGTATTACAAATTTCACAAAATTACTAACTCTAAATTAGTAGTATCTAATTAATTGTTTCTCATTAAATTATAATTGGAATTTTTAGGTCAAATTTATTATATATTTAGAAAAAAAAAATAAGACCAATAATAAGAACAACATCCCAAGTAACATTTTAATAGTGTTAGATTCAATACAAGTCATAAACACAAATTGTTGTGTAGTAAAATATAGAAGACTTATTTTCATTTCAAACTATTTAGTTGCTATACAATATATGTCAAGATTTACTATTACCTGATTTATTTATCTTTCGATATTAATAAAAACTTAATAACTAAAACAAGTTAATATTGAAAATATGAAAAGACGCCGTAAAACAGTCGGTAACAGGTTGCATTAATGTCTTGTTTGAAGTGTTTTCACCTGAATAAGTTGATCGTAAAAAATGTTTCAAGCCGCATATGAATCAAGTTTTACCTATAATTTTTAATATAATATTTTAACAAGTATATTGTCTCATACATAAACTATATTGATGATATTAAAATAGCACATATACTAATACAGTAGCATAATAAACCTTTTTCTATTTTGAGGCCAAATATATATATTATTGTACAGCAAAGTTCAAAGGAGAATTGAACAAAAAAATTTCACAAATAATTCTATTTCATCACTTTGACCCGCGTTTCTATTTCGATCTCTAGTTACAGTGTCCACGAATTGGTATTCGGAAATTCAAATTAACATTTCTTATGTCACTAGGCAATTTTGAAGTTTCGGTACTCAAGTTGACCTCTAGAACTAGGAATTCACTAGGTCGTAACTCAAACCCTCAGAATTATAATGACTTTTTAGTTTGAATGATATTTTTAAATACTTTGAAATAATAATTGAAAATCTATTGTAATTTCAAATTAATTAAATTATCATTGTAAAATCTTATTCGAAAAAGGTTTGTCATACAGGTAAAATAAAATTTTCAAAATAGCAAAATAGAAAGTAATAAATAATCTTATTTCACTAATATTCCATTAATTACGACACAGGCTCTAAAATCTTCCCCGTCTGCTGCTGAAACTAGACATACATCATCAGTAGAAATAATGAAAATATTCAAACAGCTTAATTAAAAAAACAGAGGAAATTTCAACAACCGCTTTTTAAATCTTTTTTATTTATTACGCTATATGCTCACTAATTTCAAATATTGATTTTTTATGAAAAGATAGTGTGTCATTTATATTTCCATGTTGATGTTATGACGAATGTATTTAAGTGTTATTCCTTTGTTAAACAGAATCTTAAATTACATAACTATCTACTGATTACTAGACTAGGTTCATAAAAACTTATTATCTCTGTCATTAAGATAGGTGTATCATACACATATCTAGAACCAATTTTTTATAAGTATCATAGATAATTAGTACGACACAGACAAATTCGATTCGTTGAATATTTTATTAACAAGCGACCTATTCAATAATTAAAGCTCACTCGACTTATTGAGTATCTCTCTAGTAGGTACTCTTAAAATTACTGTTGTAACAGTTTAATTTTCAGGACTTTATTATTTATTACAATAATAATGTAATATTTAATAACTGATATAGCTACTCATCTCTCTAACAGTTTAATTTTCAGGACTTTATTATTTATTACAATAATAATGTAATATTTAATAACTGATATAGCTACTCAAAGTGATCTTTAGGGAGGGATACAATATAACGTATGGTAAAGTATAATACTAGTTGCTTTCTTTTCCATGTTTTAATTCATAAATTATTGTCCTACATAACTACTGCAACTTAATACCACTAATAATGGAATCAGAAAAATATAAACAATAAAAAAATCTATAGTCTTTAAATAAATATAAAAATATAGAATAGTCAGTTAGTGTTCTTGTCGGCCTGCCACCAAACCTGTGACACCAATACTCGAAATGACTATTTGTTGAATGAAATTTCTCTAAAACCTCATTAAAGGTTCTCTCTGCTGGAAAAATACATATAAAAGAGCTGTAGTATCACAACAAAACTAAGTAGTCGTAATATCATCTTATATACAGTTGACATTGCATTGTACCTTGTACATGCTAACTATTTATAAGTAATGTGTAAAAATGTTTGAAAATCTCAATAATGTTACTGACATCGTACTACAGTATATACATGCATACAAAGCAGGTGACTGTGATCTGTACATATAAATACATTTATAGTACTCACCAACAAACTATCCTAAGATAATCTTCACGGTTCCCCAAAGCAAGAGCCTCCCTCCTATCAGTCTTATACTGCTCATTGACCTGATGATTGCTCAGTTCACTTAATCCGGTAAGGGTAACTTCATACTTATGACTACATTTTTCGTACTCCGGCCGAACGTTCTTGACACAGTTCGCGTGTTTCAGATACTCTTCTTGATATTTGCCGCGGGTACAAAGTTCCTGAACAACGTCTGTTATCCCCGCATATATTTTGCGGAAGACGATTTGCTCGTGTTTCTCCATACATACTTCCGTGTAGTTGTCTATGCATTTGATTCCAGCGCGAAGTTCACTGAAAAAGATAAGAAATATTAAATAAATAATACGTAAATACTAATACTATAGAAATACAGTAGAATTTGGCGAAGGTGATAGGGTACTTTGTATTGCTTCAAAAGGTAAAGAATGAACTAGTGGACATGTACATATTTGTATGAGGAATCAATAATCTTAAAATCAAGATAATAATAACACTGAGGTCATAATGTTCTCTAAATAAATGAAAACTTGTAAATACCTTTCAATTACGAATTACGAGTAAAATCGCAAGCTCAAAATATCTTAGGTCATTAAACTAAAAACAGCAAAGAACTCTTGCTTACGTACACAATTTGATTGATATTATTTTGATAATAATCAGTTGAATAGGTACCCAATCATTCACCAGGGTATCGAATGAGCAGTTAAATTCAATACCGAGTCGAATAAAATCTAACACAGGACACTTTCGTGACTGGAGCCAATAGATCGACATTTTATAAACTTAATACATATAAAAAATTATCTATACGTAGAACCACCAGGCCGATAATACAGAAATTCATTCTCATTAATACAAATGTTTGCACTGTATAAGGAATCGAACCAGCGAATTCGGAAATAAGGAGGCGTGCTAAAAAACATTCTATACGTTTTAGTCGGAAAAATAAATTACTTAATTCAGCTGAATTTATTTTGGACTGGCAAAAAATATATTATGCAACTTTATCAAAACTATGCAGGCTAGTGTTGAACCTCATGTCCAACATACATATGTAGTAATAACTAAAGACAGTGTTATTTTTGGAACCACTCATTGAAACTGTAAATTGTGCAGTAAAATTACGGTCCACTATACTATTTATAATCCTCGGAACTGGTAAGCATGAGGTTCTCTATTTTTTGTAAAAAAGAAATAATTACACATTATGTTCACATAATGACACTATTAAATTTTAAATCTTTCATTTTTTGCTGTTGTCAAGTAAAATAAGAGTATTATAAATCAGTTATATTTCCTAGTACTTACCTATCCTCTAATGTAGGCATTTGGTGAATATTATATAATGCCTAGTTTACAGATATCAAACAAGAGTGGGTAGGTAAATTAATAAATAACATTCGTTAATAGGTCTACTTTCTCGAATATAAATGGAGAGGCCTTTCATCTGTTCTCCAAATATTTGTCTAGTGTCTATTTTCTAAGTGTTCTGTTTTAACCATTCTGATATCTTTCAGCGATATAACATTTATATAAGCTAAGCCAATAATAAAATTGTATCAAACAAAAAGACTTGTAAACGTAGAGAACACTTTAGTAAAAAAAATATATAAATAGTATTTCTCCTAAGAAATCATTTAGGTCCAATTTCCATGATAACTTATTCTTAGTGCTTCTTTCACTCTACAATTCATGTATTCAAGCAGTGTTAATTATCAATTATTCTGTGACTCTCAACAATCGTCAAACTTTTTACCTTTAATATGTATTTATTCCCTATGTGGCTCTTCGTGTGCATCTGAAATTTTCAGCTTCCCTAAAGAATATCAATAATAACTACACTTACTAAAATCGTGCTCTCAAATAGTTATGTATAGCAGCTAGAGAGCATATTTTTAATATCAAATAACGAAACAAATTGTAAAAAATCACAAATAATTATATTTTCTACTATCAATATTTACACTATTATTATTTGAAAAAGTATTATTATTATTTAAACGACTTCGAGTGAACTACCATCGTATACCGGTAAGTATTCGGTTACTAGTATTTTAGATGTACATTGAGTATATATTATGTTTAAAATTTAAGCCGGGATGAAATGGCAATGGGCTGTCAGTCCCTATAAGACTAAGTGTACACGAAAGTTACAATAATTAATTTCTAAATATACACGCATGGTCCGACGTTGCCTTCAATATGATTTGCACTAATTTCAGTAGAAACACTCAATGAAACGTATTCACAAACAAATTTATATAGTAATTGGCAACAATAACATTTGACTAATATATACCTATATATATATTAATGACCAACATACAAATAAAATAACAAACTGTCTTAGCCTCCATGGCGATAAAAACAATACGTAAACCCTACTTGATACTGGTGACGTGCCTGCAAACTCTCATATGTGTTGGTTATTTAGACATTTTTCAGTTTTATAGGAACGGAGCTGAAGTGGAAGAAGCAGCTGAATCCTGAAACCTATCAGTTAGAGTCGGTAGTGTCGAGTTATTCTCATTTCAAGTTTAAGTTGTGACAGTATATGGATATCCAATAAAAAATGCAGATATCACATATTAGTGAAGACTGTGACTTGAACCAAAGCCCTAATAAATTAATCTATACCATTAATGAATTAATCTACATATATTTTAACTTCCAGGTCGAGGCAAAACTTCGCCTTAATTCAACCATTTATTGAGTAGCATTTTTCTATTTAAATAAATAACGTAGACAGGATATCATCTAGTAAATTCCTCGACAGATACTATTAAGTGGTTCATTGACTATTCAGTACTATATTATCTCTGTCAAGCGCAGCGCGAAGTTCGCAGTCCAACAACTAGTTTCAAATTGCTATTTACCGCAAACAAGAGTACCAAATTGAGATGAGCTAACTGCGTCAGAAGTTCGTTTCTGGCAAGTCTTAGAAGTTATCGAGTTTTCGCAGTTTTACAGAAAAATAAACATAAAAATGTATAAAAGAAATAAGTAATTGGCAAGTTAACTGATTATATATTTTATAGGTATTCTCATTAAATATGGTTATAAAAACAAATCATTTTAATATTCATATATCTTACAGTTTTCTGCATAAACACACTCTTTTTGGGGGTTTCTCGCCTTGATACTTGGCATACAGTTAATGTATATATATATCTTAAATAAAAATACTCGTATAGGATAATCGTCTAATTCGTGTTACTTTAATTAATATTAAAGGCAAATATCCAATTAATAAAAGCTTTAGAAGAACAAATCACGTTCTCTTATTCAAATACTCTTAAAGTAATCTAGTAGTTTATGCGCAATTGGGTGACAAACACTGAAACAACTATTTATTTATCGTGTGGATGAATAAGTAGTAACGTAGGTACATTACAAAATTACACATTTGGAATTTTTTATCAGTATTTGGTCTTCGTTCGTTGAAGATCGAGTGAGATGAAAAGTGCAGTAAAAGTGCAGTCTCTTTATATTTATTGAAACAAAGTTACTTTTGCTATTCTAATATTATATACGGTTATATTTTCATTTGTAACTATTGAGTATGATGTAATGATATTTGTAAACATAGATTCAAAGGTATAAGCGTCCTTAGTTAATACACGTACGTACCGATTTATAGTTCATGACCATAATAGTAAAGAAATCTGATTGAGGGTACAATTAAGATTGTTATGATACCATAACACAAATGATAATAGGTGGGTCATTATCATATCAATTAGCTTGCCATCCGAGCAAGCAATTCCTTACATAACAATTTTAGCTCGTACGTACGTACCGGAGCAAACAAAATAAGACGCGCAGACAAAATATGATAAGGCAGTGATAGGTATATTATAGTAGTAATGATTCAATATATCACATAAAAATAATATGGCGGAAAAATACTACTACATAGTACGTACTATCATTTTTTTTAAAGATCAATGTGGAATGATGTCTCCTTATATTTTTAACTGACTGGTCTATACTTATGTGGAACCTGCTAGGTCTAGGCTAGGGTGAGGATGAAGCGAGAATATACCACAATGATGTGCATAGTGAACCGCGTAGAAGTCAACCTGATATTATTAACATTGCTATTAATTACTAGATACATTATTAAAAATCCCTTCTCACTGAAGTACTCAGTGCTATATATAGGTACGATGAAATGATAAAGTATACAGAAGTTCTGAAAACAGACCTTTTATAAAACTGATTAGATTACGATGAAGTAGTCTATCATAATATTTAAACATTTTGTATTACCAACCAATAATCGATATTATTTCTAACTTTCTCACCATTAATATTTTTTTTTATTTAACAGAAATGGCACTCGAGCTTTCGGCCCACTAGATGTGATTTCATCATGTGACATCAGTAGTACTCCTCCCATGGATCCTCCTCCTTGGATGTATCATGCGTCTGGACCGTGTAATTTAACTGCCAAATGTCGCGCATTAACCGAATGATGGCCTAAGAAGTAAAGTGCTGGGCAGCTGAAATAGATGAGACAATGGTCCACGCAGATAATTACATACAGGGACTACTTCGGCACCTTTGGTTGCTATCTTAAGTATTATTTAAATAAACTTAAATTTTCATAATGATTTTTTACATTTACCGTAATAACAAATTGGTATTTGTTACATAAGATGGACCGGATTGTTACTCCATTCACATACATAAAATTGAGATGCTAAAAATAAGACATTTTTATAATTGGTGTCTTACTATTTGATGACGACATCTTCATCACCATAAATAGACAAGTCAATCATTGTTACAGATTGAGCCATTTTATTGCATATCTACCTAATGTAGAACCAACTGGTAGATAAAATTACACTCGGTTTTCTTATAACATACGCTATATTCCGGGTTTTAGCCTAGTAATCCAAAAACTTATATTTCTCAATTATACTGTATTTTTGGTAACTAACAAAACTTCGTCAATTGTAAACTAATTAACAATTATTTTTATACGAAAGGATTTACTGCCTGTTGGCCTTACCAATGATTAAAAAAAAGTTTTATAGAGTATATTGTTAAATAATGTGAATATTAACTGAGAACAAGTGACCTCATTTATAAAAGACAAAGTATCGACTACTTCATTACATCATCATCAAAATAAACCAAATAAGCTATAATATGATTAACAAAAGTATGATAAGAGGACAATCATACTTACACACAGCTCTTATCCAATTCTTCTTGGGTCAGTGCGAATGATATCTCTGGCGAGCTGAGTACGGGCAAAGACACAGAACATCTCTTTAACAAATCCTCTTCCTGGCTGCAGTGAGCTTTTATTGCATCTGTGGACAAATGTATAAACATAAATACACAAATTTAATTATTCCCTTTTAATTACTTCCGGTGTTTCATCTTTACGTCTAGTAATTATTGTGACAAATCCCATTCATTACCCAAATGTTGTCGGATTATATTATTATTAGTTCTTATGTTATATTAATTCTTATTATATATTATACCTTTAATCTTCAGCGTCAGTCTAGCTCATTATGACTATAATACATGCTAACGTTATACATGCGAAAGTTTATCTTTCTATCTGTTTGTTAACTTTTTACTACTAAAGGAATCAATAAATCATATAGGATAACTTTGAATTCAAAATAGAAGACAAAGTCTCGAGTTACAGCAAGTATAACATTAATATAACAGCAATATAACATTATTTAATATTTATAAGTGAACTGGTAAGATGAACAGCAGATTTGCGTATAAATCAAATAAAGCTAGCAATAATAAAATATATCTACTATTAAACAGCGTTGAACGTGTCTCCCGCGCATAAAACTGCGTCATTTACGTTAAAAGTAATCAGTCAGTTATGATAAATTATTTGTTTAATTAGTTAGGTTGGTATATATAATTTTAGATAAAGGAATGAATTTTTTCAGCTGCTAATAAAACTTCCATATTTACATTAATTTACCCCAATTATCATTATTGCGGATGAGTACTTTTACTTTTTTTACGTTTGTCCACCCTGTAAAATATCGTTGATGCTGAATTCCGAAACGGTAAAATTTAAAATTTCAAGCAGTGATCCAGATTTTATGTTTATCTTACATATATAGTCCTGTAAAATTTAAGTTTCTAACTCAATTTTAAAGATAGTGAACGGATAAGTTTCTTATAATAGAAACATTCATACTCGTAGTCTAGTCGAAGATTGCCTGATATTTTTTCCTAATTAATTAAGCATTATTAAAAGCTTCATCACCAGTCGGTTTACATAGTAATTGACAAGGTTGCAATAGCATATGAATGTATTATGTAATTAATAAATATATTTAATTACGAAAATATCTCAAATTCGGATTCTTCGAGATTGTATGAAACACTTCAATATCTTTTAAATATCTTATGTATCTTTTATGTATGTATGCTATAACTTGTGGAATTGATCCATAGGTCATACCATACTGCTGTGTCTTTAACGTTTTCTCCTAGTCAACCATAGGGCAGAAATTTATGTTGGCAGTACATTAAAATAAATTAAAAATGCTATGAATGAGATTAAATATATACATAAATATTATACATATCCATAAGCACATATGTATTATATTTATAAATATAACTACATACTCATACTTGTAATGCATATACATTCAAATAAATTATACAAATCAACAGTTAATGTTCAGATTCTGTTTCTAGGTATCTTCAAATAATCGTTATTTATTGAGGGCTACCTTGTAATTAATTATCTACTCGTTTGTACTAACTTTTTAATTAGAGGGGCCGATTATGTAATTTAAAGGTGCCGATGGTACCATTATCTGTTTGTCCGCCTTTATTATGCGCCTAGAAATATCAAGATCAAATCTATTCTATCTTTTCTAACAATACAGAACAAAGTCGCTGTTTCCGTCTGTTTCTCGCCTTACTTTTTGAAAGAACAAGATGAATTTTGATGTAGTTTATAATAATTTTAAAATTTATTTCTGTAGATTACAGATCCGACTTCCATAATATATGTCCATATACCATACGCCTATATGAAACCAGTGTGGGTGTTGTTTAATAGTAATATGTCGTATAATGTAATGATAATCATGTATAAATATCATACAATATAAATAAGACATTCAATTCTCCCATACAGGTTTAAAATGAATTTGTTTTACTATTACATTATACCTATGGTTCACATAGGTATAATGTAATAGCAAAAACCTATTTGGATTATTGGTTCCACGGGTAATTAGAAAATGAGAATACACCCATTTTTTCGAAGGTATAACTTTTGCTACTTACAAAATACATATCGTGGTATATGGGATATCCCCAGATACCCTACTAATACTTTACAAACTCCAAAATAATATCAGTTCGAATATAATCTTAATACTTTTAATAGTTATATCATATCTATGTAATACTCGTACGATTTGAGATATTTTTATAAATACGCATAGGTACGCGTCAATGCGGCAGATCGTGAGTATGTTGAAATGACGAGATCAGCTGTTTGCACATACATGTACATGTATAGTATGTATGTAATTTTAACTTGCAGAGCTGTGTACACACGTCTGGACAAAAAATATTATAAATAATCGTTTTATAAGAAATGTTGGAATCATTAATAAGTCAATAGTCAATTCCTTTATTATTTATGTATATCATATCTAGTGGTACCCGCGATTTCGTACTCTCCAAATACAACACTAATTAAAGCTTCAAAATAATGTACTCTTTTTTAATGAATAAGTTAATTCATGAAATTGTAGATGCACGTATTGAAAATTTGAAAACAATAATTATTTTACTCTTTTTAGGAAAAGAGCAAAATAATGAACAAGTATGGCTAAAAAAAGTTGGTAAAAATAGGTTTTTACCAACTTTCTTTAGCCATACTTAACACATATTGTACGTAATTCCATTGTAATTCTTGCAGCGATACAGAAACAATATTATTATATGTAAAGATTAATATAATAAAGAAGAATGTATTAGCAAGAGAGACAGGAGATATAAATGTCTTACTCCATGTAGAAACTGCGTACCTAGAATGTTCAATCCCATCACAAACCATTATATATTTTATGTTATTGTAATAAAGTACAAATACACCTTCACGGTACTGCAGAAATAAAATTATACAGAACGCAGAACTAGAATTTATTTAGATTGATGTTAAAATCTGATAAAAACCACCCATGCCTACAAAATATATATTATTCCTTATAAAATAGACTGTATTATGAGGACGGATATACGGTTTTATTTTAAAAAATAATTTGGAAGAGTTAAAGTCAGGGTAAGGTAAGTAAGGGATGATTTTTGTGCAGTTAGAGTCGCGGATAAGAGCTAGTTAGAAAATGTAATTATTATTGTACACTTGAAATTATTCATGGACAGAGTAAAATAGATTTGTTTAAGTGTCATGAAAATATTTTTATTTCAGTCTGAAACGAATTTGTTTTCATATAATTCCGCATTAATAAATAAAATGGCAACATAAATGTATATATTTAATTTAAATAATCTGTTTCACGATATCTTGGCAATGGCCTCGGCTGACGTTTCAGTTGTGACTGTGTGACGGTGCGTGTGTCCTGCTGTCAAACAGGTAGTTATTTTTAACAGTGCTGTTCTAAGAACGTGCATTCCGACATTGTGGTGGGGAGGCGAGCCCACCATGCTGTTTACTGTCATTGGCTGCTAGAAATCGTACGATGTTTTTGCATGTATGTGTGTCATACGAATACGTTACACGCTCTCGTACAAACAAAACATAATCGAGTATCAATTTATGCAGCATCGTCGGGAGAACGTCAATTGACTGATTAGATTGGTCCAATGGATGCCATAGCAAGACAATATCGCCTTGACACAATGACGTTACCAGTTCTGATTAGTCATTAACCTTCCATTACGTCAGTTGTTAGTCAGTGAGTGAGCAAAATAAGAATGTTATTGTTTATATACCTCGATCAGCAAAAAGTGGGAAAAGATAATTATTTGGAATGGGGACGATAGACCCATTAGTTCGCATCAATTTCAATCATTTTTATCATCTTTAAAATTGTGTGTTTTAATATTAAAATTAAAACATTAAGTCATAAAGTATTTGCTATAATTGGCACTTTTGAAAACGAACAAATGAAAATTTCTATAGTTTATTTATTTACCGAATTGTATAAATTACAAGCCTACAAAACACTAAAACTACCTGAAAGCAGGGCGTAGGCTTGCGTTAGCCGTCATCCGGATCAAGCAAGAACATGCAAAACATAGGTGTACGACGCAGAATACCTCTAGGCACAAGGAAAACTAGATCTAATATGAGACATGAAACGGCTGGTGGTTTATACAGTGTAGTGAGAGTGTAGCAAAATTCAATATGTAGTTCATATCCTCCTATTATTCGAAAAAACCCGTGTTGATAGGGCTAACCACACTATTTTCAAACGTTACAGCCGTTTTAGTACTAGTTTTAGTTCAGCTTTAGCTGATGTAAAAAATCGGTAACCTTAAATACAGTACAGGCCATATAAAAGTTATACTTTGAGAAAGGCTTTTAGCCAATATTTTTCCCTATTTTTAGCTTAAAGAACATATCATAAGATAAAACGTCAACTGTAAATGGATTGCTTAAAATGTAACTGAATTGATAAATAATCTTTCTTTTCTGTCTGATTTATTTGTAATTTTTATGACTTTATTTTTATTGTATTCTTATTTATATACTTTATTACATACAGAAAAATATTAAATAATATAAAAATTTCAACTCTCCAAATTAAGTGAAACTTCGCTTTTAATTTACCGGTTTGTAACACAATATTAGTCTCATAACAACTAGTGAAAATGGAACAAAGATACCTTGTAAGAGGAGCTTTAGGGTTACAAGAGAAGGGTCCAGTGTGACATACGTATATTATAATACCTCTAATGAGGTATCAGATGGAGATAGTAGGTACTGAAGTCACATCTAATTCTGTCAAAAGCAAGTTCAATCAATAAAGTTTATCAAGTTAGTACGAGACTGATATGAAATTTCTATACATCTGTAATAATAATCATTAAGTGTAAAATACGAAAATAAAAGTTGCTAAGAATGATTTCGTATCGAATTTATATGTAGATGTATACTAAAACAACACAGTTTAAAATACACCAATTGAACAAACATCTATTATAATTTTTCTTCGTTCAATGGCAAAGTAATGAAGGAATGTTTATATCGTAAGACTATTAGTAATATATTATGTAAATGACACCACAACTAGGTAGGTATTTTAGGTAAAGGGGAACCCTGGTCAATCTACTTTTG